AAGCGAGAAAAATATAATAGTTCGATCCTCAAAAAAGAACTCGAAATATCCATGTGTATCATTGTTAAATAACGTTAAACAAGCGTTTAATAGCAATTCAGGAAACTACGCAATTGAGAAGATTTCCTTGAGGCGTAGCACAAAATTTTACTGAAGGCAGAGATAATCTAATTTTACATAATCGATATTTAACACACTTCTACCTGTCCAACCGATCTGAAATTTTGCACACTTACACACTTGAAATTTTGCACACTAACTAATTGGCCGACTAATCTAGACACTGCGTCCCTATGCGTTCCATGGCGCCTGATCTCGTTCCGAACGCGTAATGAACTCGACTCGTACTCGTACGGTTCCCATAAAGTGCCATCGAAGCCTTGGTTAAGACTTAAGGTTAACATTTTTTACTCATTTCTCAGCCAAACATCGACAGGTTTGCGGTGTTTGTTGGACCACTAATTAACTGCCATTTCAGTTAGACAAATTTGCATAAATCTGCAATTAACTCAATTTAACTGGTAACTGTCTATGGCCCTATTAGCAATAAAGGGCTAACTTGTCATTCTTCAATCCATGTTTTCGAAATGATTCGTATCGTAATCGAAAAACTTGTTTTGTCTTTAATAATTAAGACCAATCCCGTCTCGTCTCGTTATGTCTCGTTTCAAATCTGTCTGTCTCGTCCCGGTTCATAATTTACACAAGTTTTAAAGCTCGGGACAGAAGTCTTGTCTCGGTTCATACGTTTATTCCGGGATAAATTTTTTCCTTTGTCCCGTTATTTTTTACCCGGAATTTTCTCGTCTCGTTTCGTCTGTCCCGGTTCATTTCGAGAAAATTATTTCGAGACGCAGGAGTCTAAAAACTACAGGTTCATAAATGCACGGTCGAATTTATTCCAAGCTAACATATGTTATCCCTTTGCTTCTTACGCTACCAGAAAACATTGATCCGCGGTGCGCTTCTAATCTGGTATGGTTTTTGTAATTGTTTGCGTTCCTCCATTCAATCGGAATTTCATGTTTTTCGTACTGACACTGAAATGTGCATCTATACATAAGAATGGCTTTCACTGACATACACATTCATTCATAGGAATAGCTTTGCCAGCGCGGCTAGGAACGAGTGGAAGCGTTCATGCGAGCAGCGGATGCTTCTTGACGACGACTGGACAGAATTCAGAGGCGAGCCTGTGCATGTGGCTGCCTGACTGTACTTCCTTGTCTCGCGTCATGTAGTTGTAGAAATGCAGGCCCAGACTGTCCGGGTACAGCTGCAAAATAAATATATTGTAATTATAATTAGAGAGACACAGTGAACGGTGAACATTATCCTCTAACCCTGAATGTTGAACCTTTTGAGAGGTATTGCACTGCGGAACAGCATTGTATCTCTACACTAATATTTTAATGTGGCACTCCAACACATTATTGGGTGTCATCATACGAGTATTTCTGAATATTAAATATATATTTGACAGCTTGTCTAAGACATTGGTTTTGAACATAACTTTGTCCAGATCATCCGCAGTACTTTCAACAAAAATAACCTGAACAAAATAAGATCCTCAAAGCGGAGATGCAGACTCTCCAACCAGCGAAAAATTTCTATGATACGAATGCTTTGCTCATCACGGCCATGAGAAAATAATTTTTCTCACTGCTTTTTGGCCGTGAAAATATTGCAGTTATTATTTTCCGTGAGAAAATCACAGTTTTTTGGCCGTAAAAATTTAACTGATGTTCTTCATCGTAAGAATATCACCATTTGTTTTGGCCATGAAAATATCCCAGTATTTTGGCCATTAGAATATTACAGTTACTTCAGGCCGCGAGAATGTCAAATTTTCTTGCCCGTGTAAATGCCAACGTTTTTCTTCTACTCTGAGAATTTAGTTTTTTGCCTGAACATTTCACAGTTATTTTTTGTCGTGAAAATTTCACAGTCCAGAGTTCAGGTTGAAATTTCACGCACCAAATTTGCCCCACAATCTCTACCCTGGGGATACAGCTCGTAAACTATGACCTATACTCACAGTTTGTATGGGTGGAGAAGTTTCATTCTTCTCAGGGCCAAGAAAAAGTTTATATGCCGCGTCGTAGTGCACGGCCATGAAGGCATTGGACCGAAGTGCCACCCAGTCGCATTCCTCTGTCTGGTCTGCACATTTCAGGGGCGAGTCACCGGCGGCTAACAGTAAGTGATGGCCGGCCACCCATGAGTCACCGGTAAGTTTATTTGTTTTGAATACTATCAGGTTCAAGGGAGAAATATCTCTAGAATATCGGATAACAGAATACGGGGTCCACCATATTTATGGCAACGTATGTTTGCTATATAAAAATAAATTGGTTTATAGGAGACTTTTCTTTTAGAATGAAGCTTAATATCATCTATTAATTCATCTATTTTATATTGCAGAAGTCTAAGGTGTCTAAATTTATTATTACTTATGGCAGTAGATAGAAATACAATTGTAACCCTTCATGAAAAGGGCGAGAGTAATTCAGTCATTGCAAAAAAGCTCCAACTTCGTCGTGAAACTGTGTGGAAGGTGGTAAAAAAATTCAAGGAAACTAGTGAAACATGCAATCGACCTGGTCAAGGAAGGAAACGAAGTGTCTGAACAAAACAATTGCTCAAAATCACGAGGTAGAAGTTTAGGAGAAACCGTCGTCGCCCTGCTACAAAATTGGCTGCAGAAGCAGGAGTCAATCAGACATCAATGCGTAATCCTCAAAGATGACCTCAAAACCTCCCCTTACAAGATGCAAACAAGGCATGAACTAACAGACCGTCATGAACGAATGAGGCTCGAAAGATGCCAGCACATTCTGGATCTCATTGAAGATGGCACGCTGCCTAACTTGGTGTTCAGTGACGAGAAAAAATTTGACATTGAACAAAGCGTTAACCGTCAAAATGACAGAGTTTGGAGTCGGGATGGGGCTGTGGCAACCAGAACAGCAACACGACGTCAAAATCCCATGTCCGTGATGGTTTGGGCCGCGGTAACCGCCACTGGGAGGTCACCACTCGTTTTTGTCCCCTCATGAGTGAAATTGAACAGTCAGCGATACATTTCGGACATTTTGGAAGCTGTGTTATTACCTTGGGCCCGTAAAAACTTCAACGGCTCACCTTGGAGTGTTCAACAAGACTCTGCCCCATCACATGGCTCAAGCATGACCCAAAACTGGATTCAGGGTCACATCCCAGCGTTCATTAGCAAAAATGAATGGCCCTCAAGAAGCCCTGATTTAAATCCTCTCGACTTTTCTGTGTTGGCTTTTTTAGAGCGTAGGGTCTGCAGAACACCTCATGATTCTTTGGATAGTTTAAAGACTAAATTGACACGAGAATGGCCTTGATCCCTCAAGAAATGCTGCGTGTCTTCTGTGAAGATTTCCTGCGTAGATTGGAGGCCGTCATTAAAAATTAGGTTGGTCATATTGAATAAATATGTCTGAGAATTGTTTAGGTAAATCTCGGCTGCTAGCTAATCCGATAAAAAAACAATGCTTGTTTCACTGAGAAATAACAAATAACATGCGTTGCCACGGATATGGCGGACCCTGTATTTGTATAATGAGTTAAAATTTCTGAAAAATAACGAACAAAATATTTAGTCCTAAAATATCCATGTATAATTGTTATTGTTCTTCTCTTTTTTCCAGTCTGCTCCTAAAGAGAGCTTGTAGAACACAGCGACTCGGCACATGGCACAGCAGAGGCTAATAGAGAGTAACTGCCATTAGGAAATATGCTACCGATAATAATTGGAAGCATTTAAAAATTGTGTCAATTATGATTGAAACGTTGAATCTCCGCTGGGTTATTTCCATGCAACAAAGGCACAAAAACCACAACTAAATATTACATTTCCTCTACGTAGCTGCTAAAACCACGCCGTATAAACTTTCGAATCGAACATGGCAATGTATATGAACTCACTGGAACAGGGATTGGTTGCATTACAGGGTTGAATTGGTTGAGATGTTCGGTTGTGAGTTGCGTTCACGAGGCGATCTAAGCCGACGGGTTTTAGATCGCATCCCAGCAGTCGCGCCACGGCTGTCATGGCCGTGGGCCCGTTGGCGGCCCAAGCTTTGCCCTGCAATCACCAATGAAATGTTAGACCGGCTACATGGGTCGAGATTCGAGCTTAATCTTCCCATTTTATAACCTTGCCAAGATATAGGTTTGATAAGTGTACAGGTCATGCTAAAAGTTGTGAAAATTTTTCCGGTTGTCATAAGCAGTGATCAACATGAAGCTGCGATCATGTTACACAATAGAACATCTAGGGAGAAATTCCAAGTGTCATGTCCACACGAGAATCCATGAAGGGCCATGTTTGCCACTAAAGTCAGAGCTCTGAGGCCAGTACAGGACGATTTAAACGATGTAAATTTCAAGTGATATATCAAGCAATGACAAGTAAATTTGCCATTAATCTCCGTGTGCTATCACGAGACGAATTTTGAAGTGATGCTGCGGCTGTACTCTGAGTGACTCGTAGGTAAGTGGATCATTAACACGCGTGTCGTGAAGAAGGCTTCTCACCGCAGCGCCCTCATGGATCTTGATGATCCTCATGACCCCAATTGGAGATCATAACAAACCTCCAGCAGCAACATCATTACCGGGCCATGTTGACACGATTCAACACATGACACTGTGCATCATGACCCAACATGCCCTCACATTATAGTTGGCAGCAACATGGCCCACTCATGGTAGCAACACACGCAGCGACATGGTAGAATCACACTCAATACCGGGCCATGTTGACGTGGTTCAACACATGACCCTGAGCAACATTGCCTAACATGCCCTCACATTATAGTTGGCAGCAACATGGCCCAACGTGCCATCACATTATAGTTGGCAGCAACATGGCCCAACATGCCCTCACATTATAGTTGGCAGCAACATGGCCCAACATGCCCTCACATTATAGTTGGCAGCAACATGGCCCANTGTATAAGTTTGCTTCAGGGACTCTGCGGCAGACTGCGGGTGGTGCACTTATGTGCTATAGGTGCCTCATTTGGGTTTATAAGTTTGCTTGAGGAGCTCTGCGGGTGGTGCACTTACATATGTGCTATAGGTGCCTCATTTGGGTTTATAAGTTTGCTTGAGGGACTCTGCGGGTGGTGCATTTATGTGCTATATACTCCGCAATTGTTCGTATAAAGTTTGGCTTGGGGTACCTCCAGCGCGATGAAGTTGGTGGCGCCCACCAGAGGGCGCAGGGCGATGACGTCCATGTCCGAGTACAGACCTCCGAACTTGTACACCAGCGCCACGCGGCTCATGTCGCTCAGGTTGTGGATTTTGTGCGCTGCCAAAGTGACAAAATGACCATCACGGTTGTGACATTGCTGCTGGAATCGAATGCATAAAAGACTTGATGTTCATGACTGTTATATTTACAATATCTCCCGATGAACAGTTTCTCACTATGGTATTGCAATAAAACGTTAGATCAAAATAAATACATGCTGGACCTCAAATTGTTCCCGGGATAGACACAAGTTTTTACTTCCGTAACATTAATTCAAGTGAGAAGATACTTACAAGTGTTATTGAACTTTTCGGAGTGGTAAAGTTCTAGCAGCGGAGTGTCCTTAAAAAGCGAGGTGAAGTTCACATGAGCCACGCACAAGTTCTGGTAGGCGACCTGAAGTGCCTCCAAGGCTGCCAGCGTCGAGGGTTCTAAGGACTGAGCCGTCACCAAGAACCACACGGTTGCTTGTGGATTTACTTTGCAGTAACTGCAGAGATGGGCAAAAAAGTTAAGCAAAGGTTCGGTTAAGCTCTGTTGCTGGCAATGGCCGGGAGTGGAAGAGTGGGGTCAAGAAGGGGACTAATGATGGCCTAGACATACCTGATGAATTAGGGATTAGAATTGATGAAATAAGGCAATAATGTAGCAATACCTTCAGAAGTCTCTCGCAGGAAGCTGGTTACATTTGATCTTGTTTAATAAAACTCCTCAAAAACCAACTCGACCTCTGTGTAGCCATATTGTATAGACAGCCTGCATGCCAAGTGAAGAAAATTCACCGACGGGCCATCGTTTGCTGGTGGAGACGACTAATAGAAATGGGAACCTGTTATGGTCACTATCACTCATAACTCATCACCATCACCCATCATCATCACTCATCACTATCATCACCTCTCCAGCCCACAAAGCCCCCTGGGGGGCACGGCTGCTGCATGCGAAGTCTCCATCAGGTAGACGTTGGACGCTGCGACGTCTGGCACCACGTCCCTGGTGGCACGTATGGGCAGACGTTAGTACGTCGTCGTACTAATTAAGTTATAACTTCATTTCATAATTTACTATGGTACCATTTTGTACGAGTTTTACGGCAGACCGCCGGCTCTGGTCTCGGGTACAATGCCGTAACAATGACATCAGCCCATTCTTGCCGCAGAATACTGACCGTCTTTAAAGACATTCCTTTGATACCTCACTTATTTCGAATGAACAATCCCTGCTTGAACCTACGTAACAAATAAATTTTTCGAAGTCTATTCTTCTTTCAGACCTTAATTCTGAAGACACAATCGTGCGCCTGATGCAACAATTAACCCTATTTTGGGGTAATTTATTTCCTTCGCTCCACTCCTACCCCAACTCACGCGTCGAACTCCAGCAGTTTTACCGCAGAGAAATTCATGCGCTTTGCAGCGTCTCTTGCTTTCGCCGCCGACGACAGGCTGAGCGGAGCGCTGGCAAAACCTGCCCGTGAAAAGTGGTTCTACTTTTGGTGATGAAATTAAAGGAGTCGAAAAACTTTCTCGCCCCAGACTACTTGCCCCAGTTTACCGTGAGTATGTCCCAGTATACCGTGAGCATGTCCCAGTTTACAGTGAGCATGTCCCAGTTTATCTGTATGCTAGTGCCAATCAGCCCGTATATCTGTCCTGTTTACCCGTATGTGCTTCTCAGCTTACCCGTATACGCGACCCGAAGAATACGTGCATACAAGTCACATCTACGTGTAAGAGCTTCTCGTACACGTGCCCAGTTTTCCCGTACACGTACCCAGTTCTCCCGTACACGTGCCCAGTTCTCCGGTACACGTGCCCAGTTCTCCCGTACACGTGCCCAGTTCTCCCGTACACGTGCCCAGTTCTCCCGCTGTCTCTTATACACATCTAGATGTGTATAAGAGACAGCCCGTACACGTGCCCAGTTCTCCCGTACACGTGCCCAGTTCTCCCGTACATGTGCCCAGTTCTCCCGTACACGTGCCCAGTTCTCCCGTACACGTGCCCAGTTTACCGGCGTAGTACGCGGCCGACGTCAGCAGCGCCAGCCCCGCCAGCGTCAGGAGCTTCAGGCGGTGCGTCAGCAGCGAGGCTGACGGGGGAAAATAATTGTGATAATTGGGGGGATAAAAAGTGGGAGCATTGTGAGGGGAAATCATGGTTTTTATAAAGAGACCAAAATTTGCAAAAGTTTTAGGGGGAAATAACATTTCAATAAAAATATCAGCAATTATTCATTTCATTAGAACTGACAAAATGAAAATTTTAGTTTCGAGTGATCTGCGACAACGATGTACTTATGCTGATTTGAAGCTAGAGACAGCAAGCATTTACGTATAATGCATGCAGCATTTAGCATAGTGATGTCGGCGCTGAAGTATAGGCCTGATGTGGCCTGTCGCCGATTTTTTCCTTTTCGTGCCTTGTTCATAGATCTAAACTCGTGTAATTTGACCGGATCTTTTCATGATTGACGATAGTTTGAAGTAGCTACTAGACTTCCACCAGGTTCGATAAGGAGCTAGGCATTTCAAATCTGAACATATATTTTTCCATAGCATTATCTAGTCTGTTCTTGAACGCGTTCATACTTGGAGCGCCATTTGCATTGTTTAATGAATTTATATATAATTAATGTCTTCATGCAATACCCATTGGGCGGGAGAATTTGTTGGGTTGTGGTGTCGTGTTGTGCAGTGCGGGCCGATGTCGCTGCAGTGCAAGACCGTCAAGATGGATGATTCCTTCCAACACTGCAATTTGGAGCTCATTTTAATCTTTAACTGCAACGTGATCCCTAAGGGCGTATTGTGATCCCTAAGGGCGTATTGTGATCCCTAAGGGCGTATTGTGATCCCTAAGGGCGTATTGTGATCTCTAAGGGCGTTGAAACTTAGCAAGTTTCTGTATTTTTTTGTAGATAAAAAATCCGTTCGTGTGATGTTTAAATTTTTTTATTTAAGTTACAAAAAATGTCAATAAAAAAAATTAAAGTACAATAAAAGAAAAAAATTAATAAAGATTAAGTGAATGATTGAATGCGAGAAAATACACAGACACACGCTACCGTCACTTACTCACCTACACTAACATTTCTTCCATAACTCATTACAGGCTGGGACCTAACAACTTACAGGCTGGGACCTCATAACTCTTTACAGGCTGGGACCTCATAACATCACAGGCTGGGACCTCATAACTCCTTACAGGCTGGGACCTAACAACTTACAGGCTGGGACCTCGATCATAACTCCTTACAGGCTGGGACCTAACAACTTACAGGCTGGGACCTCATAACTCCTTACAGGCTGGGACCTCATTACTTCTTACAGGCTGGGATTTATCAATTGGCTCATAATCCTCTATTCGGAAATCACTTTACCAATTCATCTGGTCTGTTTATTTAGAAAAAACTAAATTCCTTCCAAAATTTTCGATCCTTAATCCTATTTGGCAGGATAAATTCCACCTGATACCGCAAGTAATATCAATACTTAGAATATCATACGCGAGTAAGTCTTCAACTATAAGCTAGTGCTCCAGTAGTTCACTCTGCCATTACAACTGAGTCGGTGAAATTACCGTTTGACCTTCAGCCGTACACGTAGCTACATGGCGTAGCAGAACGAATAGAATGATATCTGCATCGCCTACGCAGTCGATCAAAAGATAACCACTTACACTCAAAGGAGTCGAACTCTAACGCGACCTCCATCAGTTTTTCAATTTTTTTACAGACGAATTTGGAAGAATAGTCTTATTAAATGTGTTCGAAAAATGAAATAGAGTTTCATTTCAAGACTTTTAATTCTCTTTTAATGAAAACGAATATGTCGAGCAAAATTTGTTGGAAGAAGCTCTCCAACAAGCGTATGTGGAAAAAGTTAGCTTACCGTGTGAATATAACTGAGCACCTCTGCATTAAACGGCGTCAAGACAGTAACTGATCGATTCCCTTTAGTTTGAGGGCGATCACAAAACTCACACGTGTTCTGAGATTGTAAGCACCAAAACAGGTGTGACATCTCGTGTTGAGCCCCTTTCATATTGATCGTTGTGCACTTCTAAGCTCGACCAGAGATAGTAGTAGTAGAATAAGTAGAGTAAAAATAGTAGTTTGGCTTACTAGCGCTTATGTTATTAAGTTATTTCGCACCAAAAATCGCGAAAGAACGGCGCCAGCAAGTCGGAAGGGTTCAATTATTAAAACTCATCATCCACAGTCGATCTTAGTAGGCCAGTCCGCCGTAGCTGACAAAAAAAAAAGAGGCGTTAGCATCTTAGGGACTGGTGAAGCGCAACACCAATGAAGGAGAGACAGGTGAACTGCAACAACAATGAAGGAGGGACAGGTGAACAGCAGCAAGAAAGAAGGAGGGACAGGTGAACAGCAACAACAACGAAGGAGGGACAGGTGAACAGCAACAACAACGAAGGAGGGATAGGTGAACAGCAACAACAATGAAGGAGGGACAGGTGAACAGCAACAACAACAAAGGAGGGACAGAACAAAAACCGCAGCGATCTAACCTTGCAGCGATTCACGGTTAATGCGCCTGTACGGTATTTATTTCTATGCTGATGTTGAACTTATTTTGTTCAAGGTCAGTCATCGATTATTTTTGGTATTATCCTTATTATTATTATTGTCATTATCATTTGTATTAATATCATCATTATAATTATAAGTATTATTTCTTTTATATTATAATTAATAATACTATTATCATAATAATTACTAGTAGTATTATTATAATTAATCACAGTCGTTATGATAATAATGACTATTATCTGTGATCTACCTTAAATTACCAAGTTTTTCGTCCTTCTGTTGCTGTATGGGCGCGTATCTAATATATTTTCCTCGGGATATTACCTGTACCAGGAAATTTATTTATACCAAGGACAGGAGAAAAAAATTATATTAAAAAATTTAAAAATGATATTAATTGCAAATATAAAAGTTTAATCCATATAATAATCAAATTTGATTCGAATTTAAAACTGGGAGTTCTGTTGTTCAGCAAAAATTACGAGTTTGAACGTTAAATGTTTTTTCTTTGTTAGTTCCCAAATGATAAGGATGATGGTATTCAGAATGACAAAAGTTTTAATGACGGGATTCAAGACATCAGTTTTTTTCAAATTTTGGACAATAATTATAAAAAGCCATTCCGGGCCAACTTGTCAAAATTAAAATATTGGTATTATTATTATACCAATATTATAGTATAAAACAGATTACAGGATTGCCCAGCGTGGCTCAACCTCGATAGTCCCTGCATGTATCGAATCTCATTATCCCGTATACACCAGAAAAAGCTTAAGTTTATTAATTAAAGAAAGACCAAATAAAATTTCACACAGAACATACAGCTCGCAGTTCACCCAATTCTTCCCTTTCAGTATTGCCATGTCTCGCTATTCTCCCATTGAGAATAAATTTTCAAGTCCAGGTAATATCCCGACACGATAAGTAGCCTGGATACGCGCCCCATAGCCTCTATATATTTGTGGTGCCATAAGTATCCTGGATACGCAACCCAACTTCCCTTTATATTGTGGTGCCAGAAGTTTCCTGGATACACGCCCCAAACAGCCCCTCTATATATATGGTGCCACAAGCATATTAGAAAGCTATTGGAACAAAGCGGCATCGGATGATTCAGGACAGGTTAACAAGTGAGCTCGTTTATTTGTAGCTAGCAGGTGTTCTGTTTGTGCAGGTGACCTCAACCACAAGGGCTCACGTAGCTGCAACCGGTCACGTGACAGTAGGTGTGTATGCGACTGCATGCGTTCATGTGGCTGGATGTATTCATGTGGCTGCAGGTTTCAGTTCGCTGCAGGTGTGGATGCGAATATTCATGTTGCTGGATGTGTTCATGTGGCGGGATGTGTTCATGTGGCGGGATGTGTTCATGTGGCGGGATGTGTTCATGTGGCGGGATGTGTTCATGTGGCTGGATGTGTTCATGTGGCGGGATGTGTTCATGTGGCTGTAAGTGTTCAGTTCGCTGCAGGTGTTCGCTGTCATTGCAGGTACTCATCAATTTCGACGCACTCGTGAATGAAATAACATAAATTTAGAGCGTTTCAAAGCAAATTATTCACCATTCTCGGAATAGAAAGCTAGTTCGAATTCAGTACTGATAACTTTTTTTTTTTTTTTTGTAAATTTGGTGGTATTTACGAATTATAAATTAAAAAAGGTCAATTATATAAGGTTATTGAAGGATAATCTTCCTATGAGCCATAATTCTGCTCAAATAATGAAGTTAAAGGAGCGTTTCTTAAATTTTGCCGCCAAGGCATTTAAATTAATTTCTCCATTACATGCGGCCACACATACAACATAGAACATGCTAAACAATTTCTCGTAAAAAGTTGGCATATAAATAGATTTGCGACGAAATGTTCCACAGTACGATTAACAATGTCGAAAAGGTTAAATTTAAGTATACCATTTTTCAAATATTATTGGCGTCTATCTGATAAGTGTTAAAATCAATTTCGCTGTAATTATCAGCGTCTAATCACATTTCAAATTTAACGGAGGCCAGGCGGGTGGCTACTTTGCTTGAACGGTTTTTGAGGCTTTCCCTCCAGCGAAGTCGAAGTCAGGCAACGCTGGCCACCAACATACAGAATATCTTCAGCCACCATCCTTGCTGCTCCTACCGCCGCCGTTCCTGTTGTGCCCGTTTGTTCGTTGGATTATCGTTGTTGGGGTCTATTCAATAAGTCATCAAACAAATCCCGGTTTTCTTTGACCCCAAACAATTGACCAGTGATCGTATTTAAAGGATGAATAAAAATAAGGAATGAAAACCCATAATAATAAACGAACGATAAATACATGAAAACAAGTCACAAAACTATAAACCGTGTGTCTTTCTAGCCTTTCATTTTCAACTCGTAAGAACGTCCTAGGTTCGGAGTCCCGCTGAAATAGCACGAATAAATATAAATTAAAGACTTGAATTACCGTAACGCTAACGAATGAATATATAGCACATAAATAATAACCTAATATAAATATTCAATATCACCAGAAAAACCACCACTATATCAACACGAAAGATTAACACGATAAATAATTCAAGTACTAACCTCTGTGGTGGATCACATAACAATGACGGGGTGCATAGCGGGTCTACACGAGGTGACTTCATAGTTCACTAAAAAAAAATGACAATACACCTAACCTAACTATCGATGAAATTATTATATTTAAAGCGGTCCATAACATCGTCGTGGCTTCGCACGGATGATTAAACTTCACACAAGCGTCTTCACCAACTGGACGACTTCTCATCTGGGCCCAGATGAGCTTGCTCCCTCACCCTGAGCAGTTGGTAAGTGACTGCTTCTTGAGGAGCCCTGAGCTTTGCCTCGGCAAGTTCCTAAAAAATAATTGGACACTCAAGTACATTTCTGCGTAATTTGCTTCTCATTCAAAATAAATTCGTTCACGAATCTCATTTCCAATGAGTAGCCATCAGACAGATTCCTTTTAACTGATAAGTGATACATTTATAAATAGTTAATTGATAAATGATTGGTTGATGTATGATTGATTGATATATGATTAATTGATAAATGATCTATTGAAATTTGATTGATTGAAAAATGGGTGATCGATAAATGATTAATTGATAACTGATTCGCAACAACAACGAAGGAGGGACAGGTGAACAGCAACAACAACGAAGGAGGTGAACAGCAACAACAACGAAGGAGGGACAGGAGAACAGCAACAACAACGAAGGATGACAGGTGAACAGCAACAACAACGAAGGAAGGACAGGTGAACAGCAACAACAACGAAGGAGGACAGGTGAACAGCAACAACAACGATCGAACCGTGGAACGATTCACGTTATGGGGTGCGTCCGTACGGTATTTTTCCCTCTGCTGATGTTGAACTTATCTTTGGCCAAGTTTAGTCATTGATTATTATCAGTATTTTCATTTTTATTATTATTATAATTATTATTTTAATTTATAATAAAATTTTGATTATTTATATTATTATTATTTTATTATTACCATTGTTACTATTAGTATTATTATAAATATTATCATTGTCGTTATAATAATATGGCCAATATTGCCAGTGATCTATCTTAAATTATTAACTTTTAAGTTCTTCTGTTTCTGTATGGGCGCGCATCCAGAATATTTGTGTCGGGATATTACCTGTGCCTGGAAGTTTATTCTTACCATAGAGAGGAGGAAAAGTATTTAATAAATTCTATGTGGTATTCAAGTGTAAATGTAAAAGTTTGTTACATATAAAAATCAAATTAAAATTTGATTTTTTATTTAAAACTAAAAGTTCTGTTGTATACAAAAATTACAAGTTTGAACGATAAATGTTATTTATACTTTGTTGGTTCCCAAATGTTCAGGATGATGGTTTCCAGAATTACAAAATTTTTAAAATCTGCATACGGGACATACGTACATCAGAATTTTCAAATGGCAGAGAATATATGTCATTGGTCACGCCGGGCCAGCCTGTCAATATCATAATATTATTATTATTATTGACAATCCCAATATTAGAATATAACACAATTAGTGGGATAGCCCGGAATAGCCCATGCTCGATTATCCCTGCAAGTTTCGAATATTATTATCCAGTAGATAAAAAAATAACGTTAATGTCTATTACCTAAAGAACGGTCAAATAAAATTTTACACAGAATATAGAACTCGCAGTTTACCCAATCCTTCCCTCCCAGTATTGCAATGCCTCGCTATTCTCCCACTGAAAATAATTTTTTGCCACGTAATATCCCGACACGATAAGTATCCTGGATACGCTCCCCAACTGCCCTATATATTTGTGGTGCCATATGTATCCTGGATACGCACGCCAATGGCCAATATCTTGAGGTGACATTAGTTTTTTTGGATACGCGCAACAACAGCACCCGTGTATATGTGGCGCGTGTAGCATTGTCATTGGTTCGTAAGTGTGTCATTCCAATAGTGGGTAAGCGCCTGCCGTTACCTGCGTTAGACGGAGTGACCATGTCAATGGTAATTAAGTAGCTTGTACACGGAGCCAGTAGTGGCAGCCAGTACAATTTTATGAGGTAACCTGTAACTAATTATCATGCTGCAGGTTTAGTGTAAAGGGTTACTGGATCCTTCACTTGCCAGTAGCGCCTAGACTCGGTATAGAGTGGCGGTTAGTATAGTATAAAAGTTGTACTGACCACTACTAATATCTCCGTGGACAAGCACTTATACAGGGGTTGGACGAAATAAGGGAATAACTGAACATTTGAAATCATAATGTGTGAACATGTAATATATATAGCAAAACTGGCATATCTTAATGTTTCTTTGTTTATTATTGGCGCTAATTGATATTTTATATTTTAACGATATATTTAGGCATTGTTGTTTCTACAACAATTTAAAAAATTTATAAATGACGAGCCTCTATCAGTTTCAGAGAGGCCAAATAGACAGTGCTCGTATAGTAGGTGTTAGTCACACTCTAACAATGCACACTTTGTATCAACCAATACCCGGACAATTGAGGCTGTAATTGCCATAAAGGTGGACCTACACGATTAATGCTAAAATATATGTTATGGATTTTTAAGGAGTTTCCCCTACACTGTTAGAAAAATTACCGTTAACGGTATTACCGGTGTTTCAGTGGCCGGTTGGTACGTGAAAAGAAACACCGTGTCTCCGTTTTTATTCTAATTTAACACTATAAATCCGTAAAACATGTGATAAAAACGGTGAAACAGTTTATTTTCACGGAGCGGCCGGCCACTAGAACGGCAGTGGGACCGTTTTTTCTAACAGTGTACTTATTCCAACCCTTGAATATACGCCTCCCTAAAATGCTAAAAGATCCTAATTGATTAAATATGCTGGATGAAATTGCTTTTATTACCAAGTTAACTTGGATAAGATGTTAAATTTTCGCATATTAGTGTGATGAAGTGAATGCCATTGGGAAGTACCCTTGACAACGTAAGTACGACCTGATGAGGGAAGTCTTGTCAATGATTGCCTTTAGCTTAAGAAATTCCGAAAACAATATAAGACTTGCTGTAAAAAATTTTTAAAATGAATTTTGTTTCAAAATAACAGAGCGTATTACTCATTTCTGTCAGGAGTTCAGCTGGAAGATGGCAAACAAGAAGGCAAGGAAAAATTGCGACGTGAACCCTATACCCCGCCTGACCAGGTCAGAGGGATAATGTATATGTAATAAAAAGCTTGTTGCTTGCTCGGGTTTGTTTCTCACTCGTGTCAGGTACCTTCCTTGAAGCGCTCCTGTTAACCATTAACATTTTATTTAAGCAAGACTAAATGGAATAGTTAATACATTAATACAAAGGAACGTAATCAAAGAAACACTAAATCTATACACTTGGCATAATGGATGCCCAATACTGGTAGCGGCTTGACAAGAGATCAGGACTCCCTCTTGATCCGAGAGCTCCCAGACGGGATCTTAAATCTCGACCTTTAATATTTAATCTGGTCTACGGCCCGCCCTCCAGAAGCTCTCACTGAATCCATGCAGCTCCGCAACCCTACACGTGAAACAAATTATATTTCAAGACTGACCAGTTTGTACGGCAAATACGCAATGACAATCACAGCTGATGAATTGATTTCTAATTTATGCCATATTATAACCAATCATTTGATTCAATACTATATTCGAAGAATAATTTTTTGGCGCAACTCACCGATAAAGGCAGTGGTTGCCAGCTATGCTAAAGTCACTATAGTGCGCTACAACGAGTTGACAATGCCGTTACATGGGTTGCTCACTGTATGATTACTGGCTTCCAACTGACAGGCCGCGGTCAATTCCTACTGTTGTCGCATACCATTCAGTGCCTTCTAGAACTTAAATTTAGACCCTTACAATATATACCGCTTCATTGCGGGAACTATAACTCGTAATTTGGAACACTTCCGCATTCGTGTTGCAATAGACGTTGAGATATAATAAATGAAAACATTATTAGAGTAGATTCATTTTTATAGAAAATATCGTAAATACTCGTTGAGATTCTCAATATATTAGAATGACCAGTCCAGTATGTAAAGATCTACACTTTGTCATTTCTAGCGTTAGGGTTTCGAGGAAATTTTGAAGGGAACAGATTCGTAGAGTACTAGCATGCCAAGGGTGACCATGATACCATGAGAGCCTGGGCCGGGTAAGTGGCCAGTGACATGGTAGCGAGCAACCCGTTCGACGAAATCAACCAGTAACCAGCGAGCAACAGTTTTCATGAGTGTAACCAGTACCATTGGAATAACCGGTAGGTAACCTGTGCCACTCAAGCAACCTGTACCTGTAACAAACCTTATATAGCGATTTAAATAGGATTATACTTTTCGTATAGTGAGATAAGGAATTCTTCATACTAACGGGAACAAAATTGCAGTTTCATAAATGCACGGTCGAATTTATTCCAAGCTAACATATGTTATCTCTTTGCTTCTTACGCTCCCAGAAAACATTAATCTGCGGTGCAGTTCTAATCTGGTATGGTTTTTGTAATTGTTTGCGTTCCTCCATTCAATCGAAATTTCATGTTTTTCGTACTGACACTGACATGTGCACCTATACATAGGAATGGCTTTCACTGACGTACACATTCATTCATAGGAATAGCTTTGCCAGCGCGGCTAGGAACGAGTGGAAGAGTTCATGTGAGTAGCGGATGCTTCTTGACGACGACTGGACAGAATTCAGAGGCGAGCCTGTGCATGTGGCTGCCTGACTGTACTTCCTTGTCTCGCGTCATGTAGTTGAAGAAATGCAGGCCCAGACTGTCCGGGTACAGCTGCAAAATAAATATATTGTAACAAGTAGCCACAGTAAACGGTGAACATTATCCTCTAACCCTGAATGTTGAACCTTTTGACAGGTATTGCAATGCAGAGCAGCATTGTATCTCTACACTAATATTTTAATGCTGCACTCAACACATTATTGAGCGTCATCATACGAATATTTCTGAATATTAAATATATATTTGATAGCTTGTCTAAGACATTGGTTTTGAATATAACTTTGTCTAGATCATCCGCAGTACTTTTAACAAAAATAACCTGAATGCCGTTACTTTTAATTAATCTGGAACTAGACACAGCACGTTCGTATAAGATCCTCAAAGCGGAGATGCAGACTCTCCAACCAGCGATAAATTTCTATGATATGAATGCTTTGCACATCACGACCATGAGAAAATAATTTTTCTCACTGCTTTTTTGTCTTGAAAATATTATAGTTGTTGTTCGCCGTGAGGAAATCACAGTTTTTTGACCGAGAGAATTTAACTGATGTTCTTCATCGTCAGGTATCACCGTTAGTTTTGGCCGTGAAAATATCCCAGTATTTTGGCCATTAGAATATTACAGTTACTTTAGGCCGCGAGAATGTCAACTTTTATTGACCGTGAAAATGCCAACTTTTTTTCTACTCGGAGAATTTACAGTTTTTTTTGCCTGAACAAATCACAGTTATTTTTTGTCGTGAAAATTTCACAGTCCAGAGGCCAGGTTGAAATTTCATGCACCAAATTTGCCCCCACAATCTCTACCCCGCGGATACAGCTCGTAAACTATGACCTATACTCACAGTTTGTATGGGTGGAGAAGTTTCATTCTTTTCAGGGCCAAGAAAAAGTTTATATGCCACGTCGTAGTGCACGGCCATGAAGGCATTGGACCGAAGTGCCACCCAGTCGCATTCCTCCGTCTGGTCTGCACATTTCAAGGGCGAGTCATCGGCGACTAACGACAAGTGATGGACGGCCACCCATGAGTCACCGGTGAGTTTATTTGGTCTAAATACTAGCAGGTTCAAGAAACAAATATCTCCAAAATATCGGATAACAAAATATTTGTATGATGAGTTCAAATTTATGAACAATAACGAACAAAATATTTAGTCCTAAAATATTCATGTAGAATTGTTATTGTTCTTCTATTTTTTTAAGTCTGCTCCTAAGGAGAGAAGGTAGAACAAAGCGACTCGGCCCATGGCACAGCAGAGGCTACAAGCGAGTAACTGCCATTAGGAAACATGCTAACGATAATAATTGGACACAAAAACCAGAACTAAAAAAATGCACAAAAATCAGAACTAAATATTACATTTACTCTACGTAGCTGCTAAAATCACGCCGTATAAACTTTCGAATTGAACATGGCAATGTATAAAAACTCACTGGAACAGGGGTTGGTTGCATTACAGGGTTGAATTGGTTGAGATGTTCGGTTGTGAGTAGCGTTCACGAGGCGATCTAAGCCAACGGGTTTTAGATCGCATCCCAGCAGTCGCGCCACGTCAGACATGGCCGTGGGCCCGTTGGCGGCCCAAGCTTTGCCCTGCAATCATCAACGAAATGTTAGACCGGCTACATGGGTCGAGATTCGAGCATAATCTTCCCATAATATTACCTAGTTGAGACACAGGTTTGTACAGGTCGTGTTATAATTAATTTTACAGGTCGTATTAAAAGTTGAGAAAATTTTCTAGTTGCGATAAATATACAAGTGTGAGCAATACACAGGCTGTGGTCATTGTAGAACGGTGAGAAATATACAGTAGTAATCAACAGGAAGCTGTGATCTACAGAAGCTGTGATCATTATTCACGATAGAACTTCTAGGAGGAAATTCCAAGTGTCATGTCCACCCGAGAATCCATATGTGCCTTATTCGCCACTGAAATCAAAGCAATGAGACCATTTCAGGACAATTTATTCGATATAAATTGCAAGTGATATATCAAGCAATGGCAAGTAAATTTGCCATTAATCTCCGTGTGCTATCACGAGACGAAGTTTGAAGTGATGCTGCGGCTGTACTCTGAGTGACGCTTAGGTAAGTGGAGCATTAACACGCGTGTTGTCAGGAAGGCAGTTTCTCACCGCACCGCCCGCATGGATCGCGATGATCCTCATGACGTCAATTGGAGATCATAACAAACCTCCAGCAGCAACATCATTACTGGGCCATGTTGACGTGGTTCAACACATGACCCTGAGCAACATGGCCCAACATGCCCTCACATTATAGTTGGCAGCAACATGGCCCAACATGCCCTCACATTATTGTTGATGGCAACATGGCCCAACATGCCCTCACATTATAGTTGGCAGCAACGTGGCCAACATGCCCTCACATTATAGTTGACGGCAACATGGCCCAACATGCCCTCACATTATTGTTGACGGCAACATGGCCCAACATGCCCTCACATTATTGTTGATGGCAACATGGCACCCAACATGCCCTCACATTATAGTAGGCATCAACATGGCCCAACATGCTCTCACATTATAGTTGGCAGCAACATGCTTCATGACCCTCAGCAACATGGGGTGGTGGCGCCGCATGCGGTGAATGGCGTGGTTCAAGTTGCCGCTCTCGTCGTACTGTAAGCATCATTTTTATTTCCTTGAGTTACTCCTGTGAAATATTTTCTGAGGAAGTCTAGAAGTCTATGTATAGGTTGCTAGCTGAATGCAATTTAGTTCAGTCACCCGTCAACTGAAGTTTCTGATTTTTGTCCATGTATTCTGGCTTATCGTAGTTTCTAATTATCAACTGTAATCTAAATGATGTTAAAAATTAGAAAGCACGGACTGTTATAAGACTAAGTAGAGAATTGATATCACTTGTTTGCTGAAATCGCAAGTTAACTAAAAATCTAAGAGCATAAAATAGTCCACAAGAATTAATATCTTTATAGAACACGTTACGAGATCGGCTCCATCGTCAGTTCGTGAAATTTAGAATCGTAAATTAGAAGTCACAAATTATTAAAATGAAAGCACAGAAGATAATTAAAAACCTAAATTTACAAAAAATAGATAGAGCTAAAAATATCTATCTATTCACAACTTCAAGGGGATAGAAGCACGGTATGTAGAACATTCCATATGCTATGTTCTACATACCATGCTATGCACGCTGAATTTAAATTTTCACGCAAGATTTTCGCGCCTAATGGATTTCCGGTAAGTTTGTTTTTTACCCAAATTAAGAAATTCATGTCGTAGCGATACAGTGAGGTTGTAATTATTAACGTAATTTATTGTTCTTTTCCATACTTCGGCCCTGCGTCCGAAGCTATGTCAAGCTATGCCAAGAGACGGACGTAGTATAAGTTTGCTTGAGGGACTATGAGGATGGTTTAGTTATATGCTATATGTTCCGCAATTGTTCCTATAGTATGAAGTTTGGCTTGCGGTACCTCCAGCGCGATGAAGTTGGTGGCGCCCACCAGAGGGCGCAGGGCGATGACGTCCATGTCCGAGTACAGACCTCCGAACTTGTACACCAGCGCCACGCGGCTCATGTCGCTCAGGTTGTGGATTTTGTGCGCTGCCAAGATGACAAAATGACCATTACGGTTGCGACATTGCTGCTGGATCCCAACGAATAAATGACTTGATGTTCTTGACTGTTATATTCACCATATCTGCCTTGGAACAGTTTCTCACTATGACAAACGTTAGATCAAAATAAATACATGCTGGTCCTCAAATTTTTTCCGGGATAGACACAAGTTATTACTTTCTTAACATCTATTCAAGTGAGAAGATACTCACAAGTGTTATTGAACTTTTTGGAGTGGTAAAGTTCTAGCAGCGGAGTATCCTTAAAAAGCGAGGTGAGGTTCACATGAGCCACCCACAAGTTCTGGTAGGCGGCCTGAAGTGCCTTCAAGGCTGCCAGCGTCGAGGGTTCTAAGGACTGAGCCGTCACCAAGAACCACACGGTTGCTTGTGGATTTACTTTGCAGTAACTGCAGAGATGAAGAAAAAAGTTAAGCAGTGGTTCGGTTAAGCCCTGTTGCTGGCAATGGCCGAGACCTGAAGCGTGGAGTCAAGAAGTGGACTAATGATGGCCTAGACGTTCTTGAAAAGTCAGGGTTAAGAATTATAGAAATAAAATAATAATAGCAGCAGTACCTTAGGAGCTCCCTCGCAGGAAAATGTTGATCTTGTTTAATAAAACCTGTTTGCTCTTGTTTAATAAAACCTTCTGTTTGATCTTGTTTAATAAAACCTTTCATACACCAACTCGACCTCTGTGTAGCCATATTGTATAGACAGCCTGCATGCTAAGTGAGGAAAATTCACCGACGGGCTATCGTTTGCTGGTGGAGACGACGGTCGTTTGCTCGCTATCACTCATAACTCATCACCATCACTAATCATCATCACTCATCACCATAACTCATCACTATAATCACCTCTCAAGCCCACAGAGCCCCCTGGGAGGCACGGCTGCTGCATGCGACGTCTCCATCAAGTAGACGTTGGACGCTGCGAAGTCTGGCACCACGTCCCTGGTGGTACGTACGGGCAGACGTTAGTACGTCGTCGTCTTGCCAAAAAAGTTATAACTTCATCGCAAAATTTACTATGGTACTATTTTGTACGAGTATTACAGTAGACCGCCGCCTTTGGTCTCGGGTACAACGCCATAACTATGACATCAGCCCATTCTTGCCTCAGATTCTTGACGTCCTTAAAGTCATTCGTTTGATACCTCATTAATGTCGAATGAACAGTCCCTGCTTGGGGAGCGCAGCCGTGTGTAACAAAATTGACTCGTAAACAGGCCCTGGGCCTAACGCCAACCATCAGCATGCAATATCTACACATAGCCTCAGATCAATGAGCTGTGGGTAACTCCGGCTAACAGTAAATCCGCTGTGCACAACACAGCCACTGCTTCACAGCGCCGGAGCCCAACTGGCCGGAGCGCAACAGGCCCTACCGTATCAGGCGGCGCAGGTTAGGTTAGGTTAGGTTAAGTTACGTTAGGAGTAGCTGTTGCGGTAGGGCCTGCTGCGCTCCGGCCAGTTGTGCTCCGGCCTGTGACTGAACTGCGCTGTTGTGGTGGGCACTTTGTGTCAAAAGCCGTGAAGATGCCCGGCTGCGTTACGCTCGGGAAGGTATATGAATCGCACTGTGGACTTGGGCTATGCTGACCTCTAGCTATCCACCCCTTGCTTGAACCTCCGTTACAAATAAATTTCTCAAAGTCTATTCTTCTCTCAGACTCTAATTTTGAAGACACAATCGTGCTCCTGATGCAACAATTAACCCGATTTGGGGGTATAATTTATTTCTTTTGCTCTACTCCTGGACCACAACTCACGAGTCAAACTCCAGCAGTTTTACCGCAGAAAAATTAACGCGCTTTACTGCGTCTCTTGCGTCCGCCGCCGACGACAGGCTGAGCGGAGCGCTGGCAAAACCTGCCCGTGAAAAGTAGTTCTAATTTTGCTGATGAAATTAAAGGAGTTGAAAAACTTGCTCGCCCCAGACTACTTGCCCCAGTTTACCGTGAGTATGTCCCAGTTTACAGTGAGCATGTCCCTGTTTACCGTGAGCATGTCCCAGTTTACCGTGAGCATGTCCCAGTTTACCGTGAGCATGTCCCAGTTTACCGTGAGCATTTCCCAGTTTACCGTGAGCATGTCCCCGTTTATCTGTATGCTAGTGCATATAGATATTTCCCGTATTCCTGACCTGTGTACTCGTATGTGCTTCTCAGCTTACCCGTACACGTGCCCAGTTCTCCCGTACACGTGCCCAGTTCTCCCGTACACGTGCCCAGTTTACCGGCGTAGTACGCGGCCGACGTCAGCACCGCCAGCCCCGCCAGCGTCAGAAGCTTCAGGCGGTGCGACAGCAGCGAGGCTGACGGGGAAAATAATTGTGATAATTGGGGGGATAAAAAGTGGGAGCATTGTGAGGGGAAATCATGGTTTTTATAAAGAGACCAAAATTTGCAAAAGTTTTAGGGGGAAAATAACATTTTAATAAAAATATCAGCAATTGTTAATTTCATTAAAACTGACAAAATGAAAATTTTAATTTCGAGTGATCTGCGACAACGATGTACTTATGCTGATTTGAAGCTAGAGACAGCAAGCATTTACGTATAATGCATGAAGCATTTGCATTGTTTAATGAATTTATATATAATTAATGTCTTCATGCAATACCCATTGGGCGGGAGACTTTGTTGGGTTTGATGTCGTGTTGTGCAGTGCGGGCCGATGTCGCTGCAGTGCAAGACCGGCAAGATGGATGATTCCTTCCAATACTGCAATTTGGAGCTCATTTTAATCTTTAACTGCAACGTGATCCCTAAGGGCGTATTGTGATCCCTAAGGGCGTTGAAACTTAGCAAGTTTCTGTATTTTTTTTGTAGATAAAAAATCCGTTCGTGTGATGTTTAAAATTTTTTATTTAAGTTACAAAAAATGTCAATAAAAAATTAAAGTACAATAAAAGAAAAAAATTGAATTAAGATTAAGTGAATGATTGAATGCGAGAAAATACACAGACACACGCTACCGTCACTTACACACTTACACTAACATTTCTTCCATAACTCATTACAGGCTGGGACCTCATAACTCATTACAGGCTGGGACCTCATAACTCATCACAGGCTGGGACCTCATAACTCTTTACAGGCTGGGACCTCATAACTCATCACAGGCTGGGACCTCATAACTTCTTACAGGCTGAGATTTATCAAGTGGCTCATAATCCTCTATTTGGAAATCACTTTACCAATTCATCTGGTCTGTTTATTTAGAAAAAAACTAAATTCCTTCAAAAATTTCGATCCCTAATCCTATTTGTTAGGATAAATTCCACCTGATACCGCAAGTAATATCAATACCCCAAATATTATAAGTGGATAAGTCCTCGACTATAAGCCAGTGCTCCAGCAGTTTACTCTGCCATTACATTTGAGTCGGTGAAATTACCGTTGGACCTTCAGCCGTAGCTACATGGCGTAGCAGAACGAATAGAATGATATCTGCATCGCCTACGCAGTCGATCAAAAGATAATCCTTTTACACTCGTGAGAGTTACTCTAACGCAACTGCCATCAGTTTTTCATATTTTTTTACACAAGAATTTGGAGGAATAGTCTTATTGAATGTGTTCGAAAAATGAAATAGAGTTTCACTTCAAAATTTTCAATTATCTTTTAATGAAAACGAATATGTCGAGCAAAAATTTGTTGGAAGAAGCTCTCCAACAAGCGTATGTGGAAAAAGTTAGCTTACCGTGCGAATACAACTGAGCACCTCCGCATCAAACAGCGTTCAAGACAGTAACTGATCGATTCCCTTTAGTTTGAGGGCGATCACAAAACTCACAAGTGTTCCGCGATTGTAAGCCACAAAACAGGTGTGATATCTCGTGTTGAGCCTCTTTCATATTGATCGTTGTGCGCTTCTACGCTCGACCAGAGGTAGTAGTAGTAGAATAAGTAGAGTAGGAATAATAGTGTACTAGTGCTTATGTTATTAAGATATTTCGCACCAAAAATCGAGAAAGAACAGCGCCAGTAAGGCGGAAGGTTACAATTATTAAAACTCACCATCCACAGTCGGTCTATAGTAGGCCGGTCCGCCGTAGCTGACAAAAAAGATGAGCCATTAACATCTCAGAGCAACGAAATTACAAGGAGGGACAGGTGAAGAGCAACAACTGTAGAAATGCAATAAGCGCCCGTACTCTACCAACCTGTTCTTATGATCCTACCTTCTTGAACGACAAACTTATTCTACGTTGTAACGTACCTTTTGAATAAATTCACTCTGAATCTGTCCACTGCCCAGTGAGCACCTGGTATCATTTCCTTCCTAATTCATGAGGTCGCAGTCGCCCCAGCACGCTTAAACTAGCATTCCATTAACAACAACGAAGGAGGGACAGGTGAAGAGCAACAACAACGAAGGAGGAGAGTTCGCACTGATACCCCACCGTAGCCACACCAAATTTCGTTATCTCCAGCCTGCCTGTCGCTGCCGCCGCTATTTCACCAGCATTCAACCATAAGTCTAAATTTCTTCCTTGTTCTGTGATTTATCTATTCCTTGGTTTGAGTGCCCGATATTCTTTCGTTTTGTTTATTTTGCTCAAATCTATGCTTAATTATCGTGTGCGATGCTTCAGACTTCAATTGTTTAATTTATTCAAATTCAACTTCATTAACTCAACTTTAGGTAGATGAGGCTCCTACTAGAGCTCTATTTTTAGAGTTCACACCGAATCGCTTAACCTTTATTCTTACTTCTACGCACCAATCTTCAACTATTCTTACTTCAATTCCGTCTGAAGCATCCACCTTCAACTGATTTCTTCTTTTTTCTATCAATGCAATTCTTCCAAAAAGTGCGTTAGCACACTGAGTGGCATTTAATCTCAGGTGATTATTTAGTTTACTTTAACCTCGTTTAAATTTATTGCTTTAAGTTACTGTACGCTTTTACTTTGTTTTCTATGATCTTCATATTCAAAATAACTCAATTTTCACAGTATGAACCGCAAACCTAGTGTGTAGCTGGTGGCGGAGCAGCAGCCGCGACTTACCTGTTGCATGCCGATGTACTACAATTGACGCTGTTTCAGCACTTCATTATCTCTTGGCTTAACCTTTTGGCGCAACTGAAACCGTCCCTGCTCAAGGAATTCAGCAAGATTCCAAGCTTGAAGTCAATATCCAGACTACTAAATTCAATAAATTTTCTCGGAAGTTTTATTTGCTTCACTACCTTAAAGAAAGATACGACTGTATGAAATTATTCACTGCTGAAGTGTAGGCCTGATGTGGCCTGTCGCCGATTCTTTTCCTTTTCGTGCCTTGTTCACAGAAGATCTAAAATTATGTCATTTGACCGAATCTTTTCATGACTGACGATAGTTTGAAGTAGCTACTAGACTTCCACCGGGTTCGATATTCGGAGCGAGAAGAAATTTTGTCGCGTGGAGAAGTTGCAGCGCCGTTTTTTTAGTTTATAGCTGTGGCCCCTGGTGTTGGTTCTTGTTTCGAATTCTAGTAATCCTTCGCGGACCTTGTATAAACCATGAGTATACTTGTATACTTCAATGAGGTCCCCACGCAGACGTCGATAATTGAGGCTTGGAAGCTTCATAATCTTCAATCTTTCTTCATAGGAGTTGTCCTTCAAGCCTGGAATTATCCTTGTTGCACGTCTTTGAACATTCTCTACTAAATTTTTGTCCTTTTAAATCTCGGTGACCACACAACGTTTCCAAACTCTAGATTCGGGCGCACGGCAGCAACAAACAACTTCTTCATCGCTCCTGCATATAGGAACTCGTATGAGCGTCTGATTAGTTCGAGAAGTTTGTTGGATGTGTTAGCTTGCATTTCAACATGCTTAGAAAATTTCAGCTCCTTGTCGACATAAACTGTTAGTGGCTGCAGGCGTTCACGTGGCTGTAGCTAGGTGTGTATGCGACTGCAAGCGTTCATGTGGCTGCAAGCTTTCAGTTCGCTGCAGGTGTGGCTGCGAATGTTCATGTGGCTGGATGTATTCATGTGGCTGCAAGTGTTCAGTTCGCTGCAGGTATGGCTGCGAATGTTCATGTGGCTGGATGTGTTCATGTGGCTGGATGTATTCATGTGGCTGCAAGCTTTCAGTTCGCTGCAGGTATGGCTGCGAATGTTCATGTGGCTGGATGTGTTCATGTGGCTGGATGTATTCATGTGGCTGCAAGCTTTCAGTTCGCTGCAGGT